TGGTGGGAACCCCTCCACTGCCTGAGGGTGGGGATGCCGCATTTCTCAGTATCTCTAAAGAAGAGGCAATCTGGCTCAGTCCTCAGCCACCCTGCCCTAGTCCCTCCTCTGGGACCATGAAAGATTTCTGTAGTTCTAAAGTTTTCAGGATCCAGGCACGCTGGGCCCGGGCCTTGGGTGCATCACAGTCATCACACCATCTCCCTGCTCATGGCCCTGCCCGGCTTCCCCCGCAGGCTCCTCTGCTAGGCCAGCCAGGCCCGGGGCTCTCTCCCTCCGCGGCCCCTGAGACCAGTGCTCACCTGCAGGTCTCCGCCACCTCCTTCGCTCACCTCACCCAGGTGTGCCACAGCTCAGGGTACTGGATAATGAGAGGTACACTGGTCCCTGCTACTCAAGACCTGACAGCCCCTCTGCCGCTGGGGCCAGGCCGGTCCCTTCTTCCCCGTGGAATTCACTCCCCATCCCCTCCTCTCTCCAGCTTCTCTTTACGTTTCAAAATCAATGTTTCCATCCTAACGTGCAAAAAAACATAACTCTGGCCCTTCCCACCCCGGACAAGGGGATCCAGAACAGAACACGAAGGCCTTTTTGGTCTTTGCTGTTCAGGGGAGTTTCCTGCACCACCAAAAGCTCCACACGGGAACTATCAGGCCTCTCCTCTGGTACACCCACCCCTCAGTAAATCCTTGCGCTGTACACGGGGACATGCATTCCATAAATACACAGGGAGACTTTCAAAGGAGGCCAGGGCCCTGCTTATCCAGGGCACCCGAGGCCCGGTTTTGTGGAGTTAATGTCACAGAAGAGGAATTTTCACAGCAAAATGGCACCTCTCAGGGTCCATAAGTTTCCCATGTTTGGCAGGTGAGTCTGAGCACAAAGAGGATTTCCTGTCTCCTGGCAAGAACAGAGAGAACGTCTTTGGGTGGGTCTTCCTAAGGTCTTTGGCGGGAGCACGAACCCAAGGGGTTCTGATGCAGCAGGTCCAGGGCGGGACCTGCTCAAAGCTTCCCAAGGGTGTCTCATGTGCAGACAACTGCAAGCTGATCACATACAGGCCTAAGGCTTACATGTCAGCCGAGCTGTGGGCTGGCTTCCCAGCCCCAATCTCACTCCCCAGAGTGTGTCTTCAGAACACCCTCGGTATGTTCTCCGAGTTTTCACACCACACACAGTTAGATGGTGAGGGCCCTTGCTCCTCCTGGGTCCCCCTTGTCGTGCCCTGGATATCGGAAGGAGAGAGCCCCACCCCTCACCCAGTGACCCATCCTTAGGCATCAGCGAGAGAGGAAAGCTGAGACCCCTTTGCCTTGGTAGGCAGATGGGATGTGGGAGAGCAGAGCACGAAGTGTCTCAGCAGGCTTTGGGGAAGCAGCGAGTGGGTGGTCCAGGGATTCTCGAGCTGTGAGGTACACCCCTCTCCCTCGCTGGCAGGGCCCAGGCCCCCGCCTCCACGCCGCACCCCCCAGCCGCGGAGATCCACAAACACTGGGTCCCTGTTCCCCTCCGGCACTGGCTGCAGTTCCACATCTGACTTCCTGCTGTTGAGGCCAGGGGACCGGTTCCTCGCCCAGCAGTGAAGCCCCAGGAAGGGCTCGTGGTCAGTCGGGCTGGTTGGGGAGAATTCACTCCAGGACAGCGGGTCCCGTGGTCGGCACCCTGACCTCCCCTAATGAGCATTCCCTGCACCAGTATTTCTAACCGTTGTGCTTAAAGAGACACCTCTTCCCTGAATTTTGGTGGGGGGTTCAGAAGACTGACTTTAGCCGTTAGGCCCCCGCTCCTCAGTCCGTCCCAGTCAGGCAGCGCTCACCTGGAGACACAAGACCTCCATCAGCGGCTGCTGTTTCACCCCGAGACCAGCCACTCGGCAGATCCTTACTGTGACCCAGGGTTCAGGTGTCTCTGGGATGACAGTTTCATTTTCAGAAGATATCCTTAGGTTCTGATCATCTACTCTTTCCTTCACATGAAGGGGTGCAGCTAGAGTGGACCACATAGTTTTCATTTTTGGTCTTCATTGTTTCTTTTCCTCTTACATAAGTAATACGTGAATCTATCTGTATTGTACACGTTTCAAATAACACAGAAGTGTACAGAGCAAAGCTGAACATCTGCCATCCCTCCCACGACCACTCCCCCTCAGAGGTCACACTCGCAGGCACAGTCTGGTGCTTGCGTCCCACACACTGCATGGATCCATGCACATATATCTTCTATTTCTCATTTTTCAAAATAGAGGTATTATTTTGCATCTTTTCAAAATTGATGTTTTTCACTTGGAAATGTTTAATGTTAGGATATCTATCTACCTATATGAGAAATATATTTATCTCATAAACAGATATGCACTCAGCATTATATTCTCATACCCTACGTTTTTATATTCATACAGAAGAGATTGTTCTATACACGTGATTTCACATTTTATTTTTTAGAATCCAGAAAACTCAGCACATTCTTATCTCATTATTATTAACAACTATATCCTTTTTCATCACTTGAATGTCCAAAATGTGTTAACCAGAAGCCCACTGAAGAACATTTTTGTTACAAGTACGCTTCGTATCTGTAATTGAACCTCACATTCTGTGGGGGAATCATGAGACCTTAGAGCTGGCCAGAAAGAAATAGGGGGAAGACTCCTGGGCTGAGAGTCTGGTGTTTCCTCTGCACTCATCGCTGAGCCCTGCCGGTGATGGTGTTCTGTCATTCCTGTGGGCTCAGGTCTTTATTTCCCAGTTTCAGCTTCTTTCCGTCTTACCCCAAGCACTCAGCCATTCTGAATGACAGCTGTGTGCATGCGTGCCCAGTGATCATCTCTGGGTGGGACAGGCTGTCTTTCCCCAGTAAACCTGCTCTGTCCCAAGTGAAGCATTTCCTCTTAGCTCATGTGTGAGGAATCTTTTCCACAACCAGCTGCACATAAATGCAGCACCCACCTCTGCATGAATGTGCTCATCCTGCTGAGCCAGAAGCACTAGTTGAATGTTGTCATGCATGGTCACTAATTGGCCTGGGTGTTTGCTCTCCCTAGCACTGTCTCCCTGGTCACACACACCGTGTCTAGTTGCAGGATCATTTTAGGGAAAGTAAAGTTGTGTTTCCCAAGAAAGGCTTAATCCGGCTTTATTTTTTTAACTTCAGTGTTTTGTGTCGGCACACGTAGCCACACAGCGAAGCGTCCACCAAGCGCTTGTTCATAAGCCTGCGTTTCCTGTTATTGAGCATAACGTTTTTATTACTGTTTTTTAATCCCTATCACTGAACCAGTTTTTCATTTTAATTTTGACATGAACCTCTCCCTCTTCTGCTCTTTCATCATCTTCTGCTGGCTTTGCCCGCTTCCTCTCCAGCCCCGAGCCCACGGGTGGCTGTTTCAGCCATGTGTCAGAGTCTGGAGTCCCTTGTCCCTTGGGCTCCCATTGCAGCCTCTTGGCTTGTCCTCATCAGCTGCAGAAGCCCCTCCCCACGTCTCCCCGCCACCCCAGCAGTCCCTCTGAAGATGTTCCCCTCCTCCTCACCCAGGTCAACCCCACCGCCTGACCCTCTGTCTGCTATCCTCGGCTCTCTGTGACCTTGCTCCATCGAACATCTCCTCTCTCATGCATATTTTCCTCCTTCAAATGGTTGCTACTTGTGCAAAGAAAAAAAAAGTACTCAAGCTCCCCTTACTACAGATACTTTTTCTCAACTCTATTTCCTGAAGCAATTGCCCTGTCACGGCCCCTTCTTCTGACGAAGTTCTGTAAAGGCTACTCTGCACTGGATTTCTCCACCTCCCTACTACCCAATCACTACTTTAAATAAATAAAACATTAAATGCAAAACTCACACATGCATATGATAAAAATTTACCGAAGAAGGTATAACATGGAAAATTAAAAGCCTCTTCCGGGGAGGGACAGATGAGTAAGTAGAACACAGAGGGTTCTAGGGCAGCTACTGTGTAAAGTGGTGCATCTCATCATACACATGTCCACACCCACAGACTGGACATCATCAAGACAGAAGCTGAGGAAGCGATGGGCTTTGGGTGATGCGTCTGTAAGCTCACCAGCCAGAGCGAGCGTGCCGTCTCGTCTTGCTGGCCCAGAGAAGTCAGGCGTCAAGCTTGCATCCGTGTGCTTAGGGAAGGGAGACTCTGACATTGCGGTGAGCATGGGGACCAGTTCCAGGCAGGAAATACAAGGGAAGTGTGCCAGGCAAAAAGCCTGGAAGGGGGAATGCCCTGCCTGTGCCAGGCTCTGCCTGCTTACTACCTTACAGCACAGTTGTGTGAGGACGGATGCTCAGACAGGTTGCAGCCAGCCTGCAACCATGGAGGGAAGGCCAGGAGAACCTCGGAGACACTCATCCAGAGCGCCGGACCACTGCGCCTCTGAGCCGATGGCCCACCTCCGACTTCCCGACAGCCAAGAGAAACAAACCCCTCTAATCCAAACCAGTTACTTTCTACCTGAAATATTTGAATGGATAAATATGGTTAGAGGCTGCGGCCACAAAACCTAGGGTATTATATTATGCTTATTCACATGATGCTTTGAAATGTAAATCGATGTGCTTTTCCTCAAAACATCCAGGATCCCTCAGAGGGAATCCAGTCACAGCCCCAGGGGAGCCTTTAACCCTCCCTCTACCCCAACCACACCCATCCCAAAGGAGACTGGTATGGTGTCCCGTGAGATCTTCTACCTAGGCACCCAGGCTCGGGAAAAGAGAACACATGCCACTTTCTTTTAGATGCCCCTAATAAAGAGATTCCTAATAAATTCAAACGAAATAAAGGGCTTAGTTTGCTTTGCCTGATATGATTCGGCGAAGGAGAGACAAGGCTTAGGGGTTATTCCCTCCCAGGAAGCCAATGGCAAGAGTAAGATCTATGTGTGGTGAAACACCCATAAAGCTCAAGGACACAGTCTTGAGCTTAAATGACAGCAAGAAACCTCAGTGGGACCCAGGGGCTTTCAGGTCACCAGAATCAGTAGGTGGTATGCATGTCTAAGCTGAGCCTGGATCTTAGAAAACAAGAGAGACCTTCCAAATATATGGTGGAGCAGATTGGAAAGCAGTCTCCACTCCTGACCTTAGCTGAACTTCAGCCTCCAAGTAAGGGGTCCTCTCCTTAACCTTCTAGTCGGTTTGGGAGATAAAATATCTGCTCTTCCAAGTTGCTGTGAGGATGAGAGATGACGTGTGTAAAGCTGCTAGCTCTGAGCCTGAACCTCAACGGGCTCATAGTAAACGGCCGCTGTCATGTCAGCGGGTTCAGCATCGAGCCCTCCCAATAGAGGGGGAAGGTGAGGAACAGTCTGACCAGAGGAACTATACTTCAAGTCACAGTCAGAAGTCCTCTGAGGTCAAACCTAGAAAGGCCCAGAAAGAAAGCATCAGGCAGGGTCAGACTGAACACAGGCGCAGCCACCAACCAGCATCTTTCTGTGTCTGAAGGCTGCTGGCAAGGTGACTCATTCACCTATAGCAGATGCCGAAAGGGCCGAAGTGGCCGTGATCAGTCTAGAAAGTCCTCACCAAACAGTTAACTGCAAATCTGCTCATGCTTTAAACATACCTACTATGGCTCCTCACTCTGTGTAAACCCCTCACCCTTTCGCTTGGCCAAGGGCACCCATCATCTGCCTGCTCTCTGGCTGTCTCTCCCCACTCTCCCCACTCGGCCCCCAGTGCTCTCTCCACAGCTGCACTGCACACACGACAGGGTGATTTAGCATGAGTGACACTGGCCAAAGGAATCCCGGCAGAGAGGATGAAACAGACACCAGGTTGCACGGACACGAGCAGAGCTGGGAGGCGAGGACCGTGCAGAGAGCAAACAGAACCGTCGGTTTCATGACCTTGTCCACTGAGGCGGAATGCAGGGCCACGTGAGACAGGAGGCGGCGGTGGTGGTGGTGGTTTTTAACAGGGGAAAGCCTGGGCAGAGTCACAGGCTGAGGACAAAGATCCACCGGAGAAGGAGAAGTGAACCCCAGACACTGAGGGGAGAACAGCTCTGAGGGACGGCAAGCGCGCTGAGGAGCCTTGGCCGGGCAAGCGGAAGGCCGCAGCTTTGAGGGTCCTGAAGAGACCCTGGGCCTCGGGAGGGCTTGGCCACAGGAGTCCGAGCTAAAGGGAGAAACAGAAGAGACTACACAGACTCTTCCATGAACTTATTCAAGAGGGAAAGGAAGCTGAGGCCTGAGAAGTCCCAAGACGAGAGACAGGCCTCCCGGCCCCACACATTCTCTCTGTGGGCAGAGCTCACTTACTAGCTCCCGCTCTGTGACTCGGAATCCGCGCTTCTCATTTGCCATTTCATTTTTGTAATAATTAACTCAGCTTCTGGGAGTCACTTCTCTTCCCTTGAGAAATCCCACCATGCTGGGGTTTGCACAGACAGGATGATCCATGGAGAAGTCCAGCTCTGACCAGGGCATGTCTCTCTGAAGATACTCTAGTTTCAGTGTAAAACTCACTGGACGGGGCCCAGGCAGGCTGCCTCCAGCCCGGCCAGTGCATGGGTTCTTGACTTCGTGCAAGAAAGATTTCACAATATCAGTCCGGATGAATTTTAAAATGTATTTATTAAAGCTGGGCACAGTGAGAGTTTAGGACCAAGAAAATGAAAAGTTCCAGATGTTCCAGAGAGAGCCCTGAGCTGGCATCCTTTGTCCGGAGAGTGTTTCTCTCTCTTTTGCAGGTGGAAATCCTAGGGGAGGTCTCCAGGGTGGGGGAGGGTTTCAGCAGAATATTCATCAGCTTTCTAGGTGTGTTTTTCAGTATGTTGATGTTTCAAAATTTGTCTATAGAGGGACTAGGGTCATTTTTCTGGTCAGCTTTGTCTCTATCTTGGATTTGTTGGACTCTAATTTTGTTTTATTTCTTTGTTACTTATTCCTCTGAGTTCATCTGTCCTTGTGTTTGGCTGGCACTCCCAGACCACAGTGATTTAAGCTATTTGCTCTCTGGTTAGGGAGGAGAGGTGTAAACTATTTGCTCTCAAGTGTCCTTGGTTAGAGAAGAAAAGAAGATAAGACCTGTGATTTACTAGCTGGCTGTAAATTACTTGACTTGTTTGGTTCTATTTGTCTAACCATTTGCCTCAGTTTTCCTTTTTCCACTTGTCAAAAAATTCTCCTAACATTTATCTATCCTGCCGCCAAACTTCCTGGGGAAAGGATGATTCACTTTGAAAGGATAGGGCTGTTCTTGGATTTGCTCTTTTAGCTTACCAACCAGTTCCAGAGGGCAGCTTCCTCCTGGTCCAAGGAGAGGCCGGGACTCAGCCCGGACGAAAGCTGTTTCTCATCAGACCCCGCTATTCCGAGAACTGCAAGACCAGATGCTCCTGTGAAAGCTCCAGATTTGTAAATGTTGTCAAGTCATTCCATTGAAACAGCCACGGAAAAACCCTGTGCAGGCTAAGTAAAGGTCCCCCGGAGCAACCACAAGACAAAACACAATTTGAGTTTCACTTCCTCTGAAGAGATTTCAGCCTGTTCTATTTCTTGAATGATTCTGTTTGCATGGTGCGCGTTTTCAAAACCACATCTCCCAGGGAGCAAACAGAGATTTTAATCTAGGAGGTCACTGCCTGCTCAGTCCCCTCCCTGGGCCTGGTCTGTGTGCTTTGTCATTCCCCAGAGAGTGTTCTGACCCCGCTGTTTGCCAAAGGGCAGGCACTCCTGAAGATCTGAGGGCAACAGTGACACCCTGAGCACAGCTATTGATGATGAATTGCAAGTATGCATTCCTTGGAATCACTAGCTGGTGGAAAGATTTTGAGCTGTCCCTTTAAAAATCGAGCGCTATCAGGCAAACCCCTCCTCCAGGGAGGTTCCCTTAAATGGGAGCCAGCTGACTGGGCCTTCGTTTTCACTTCTGAGCAATACCTGCCGTTGAGAATTCCTCCCCAGGAGGCAGCCTGTCAGCATGGAGTTTGTGAACAGCAACATCCAGCCCGGGAAGGTGGTGGTGTTCATCAAGCCCACCTGCCCCTACTGCAGACAGACCAAAGACTTCCTCAGCCAGCTCTCCTTCAAACCAGGGGCTTTGATATTTGTCGATATCACAGCCACCGGTGACACAGAGAGGATTCAAGACTATTTGCAGCAGATCACTGGAGCCAGAACTGTGAGTCTGGGGTTTTGTTCTAAAAGGTCGGGGAAAAGCTACCCGATTTCCGTTTTCTTGCTGGGGCTGTGAAAGGGTAGCCTGTGCCTTTCTCTAGGGCCCCGCTAGGGCTCAGTCACTTAGGGCTCCCGGGGGCTGTGCGAGGAGGGAGGAGGGAGGAGGGGAGGGCGCCTGGGAGAAGACTCTGCTCCCCCATCGGCAGCTGGAATGCAGCCAAGGGTCCTCTTAGAGCTGACGGTGCTGGGCGTCTGGGTCCGTGGGTCCAGCAGCTGTCCTGAGTGTGAGGAGTTCTCTGGAGTCTTTGTTATAAGCACGCTGAGAAGTGACAGTGTTCAGTTTGCAGGGCTGGGGGTGGACGGTGGGGTGAAGGGGCCGAGTGTGATCTGTACATTTCTGTTGTTGACGTGGAAATCGTGTGTAAGTGGGAGTTGCTGTCCTTCAGTCTTTTCCCTGGGCGCTCTTTAACTTAACCTAATTTGCTTATTCGGCCTTATCTCACTCCTCCCACTGGAAAAATCTTAATTAAAATCATTAATTATTAATATAATAAAAGTGGCTTAATATTTGCCCCTTGTTCTAAATGCTGGGGTATTTCTAGGCCTGTCATTGAAGGAAGTGCAGGGGCCAGAGCTCCGGCCTGGCTCGCACATTGCTGTGTTCCTGGGCTCGTCACCACCTGTGATCCTCAAGGACCTCCCTGCTGCAAGACTGGAATAGGGGAGCCAATCTCTAGGTTTCCTTTGCTGTGAACCCCTGAGGGACCCCTTAAGAATTTCTGTTCTCTGAAAAATCTTCTTCTTCAGTACCCAAGGTTTCCTGTGGGATGTCCACTCAACCAGATTGCCTATGTCATTTCTGGTGCTGGCGGGGTGAGCGGTGTCCCACTGCAACAAATTCTGTCAACATGCACCGTCTAGGGCAGAGTCGCAGAAGCACAGGTCCTAGTTCGTGTTAGTTGCAGGGTTTTCTCTGCTTCTCGGTGAAAGCTCAGGAGGCTGTCTCCCCCCTCTCCAGGGGGAAACCAGCACTCTGGGGCCCCAGCCGGGAGCTGAGGACTCGTGTCTCCTGGAGCAGAGGATGTAATGGTGAGAGAAACTCTTGCTGTTTGGCTGGACCACCAACTGTCCAGTGGTTCCCAAATGTTGCTGCACATTAGAATCATCTGAGGAGCTTTAAAAAAAAAAAAAAAAATTAATTCCCAATGCCCAAGTCATACCCCCAACCAATGAAATCACCATGTCAGAGGTGAGAACCAGGCCTCAGAAGGTTTGAAGATCTCTAGGTCAAAGGGTACAAACTTTCGGTTACAAGATGAGTAAGTTCTGGGGAATCTACTGTACAGCATGGTGACTATAGTGAATCATACTCTATTCTATGCTTGAAATTTGCAAAGAGAGATTTTTAAGTGTTCTAACCACACACACAAAAATGATTACCATGTGAGGTGATGGGGTGTTAATTATGTTGATTGTGTGATCATTTTATGTCTACGTATAGCAAACCATGACATTTTATACCTTACTCTTACAAATACACACATTTATTTGTCAATCACACCTCAGTAAAGCTGAGAAGAGTTTATTTTCTATAAAAAAAAAAAAGATCCCCAGGTAATTCCAATTTGCAACAAGCTTTGGGAGCTACAGCGTCCAGCTGGGCAGTATCTGTTCTCTAGCAGGAAAAACAAACATTTTCAGGCATTCATTTGACTTTTTTTTTTATTTCTTTGTAATGCAGTGATTTTTTTTTTCCTAGTGGTCTTTTAAGTTTGTTTTCAATGAAAAAAAATATTTTTCACAGCTTCCTCCAAGGGGAAGAACAAATTATGTGTTTCATGATCCCCAACAGTGATGGGTCTGTACTGGAAGAGGTTGCAAACTTGAAAGAAGTTCCTATCTTGTTCTGTAATGACCCTTGGTGCTGTGCATATAGTAAGAGCCCGGCAGGACTTGATTGATTCCAGAAACTATGCCCTCAATCAGGCTGGTACCTGGAGAAACCTGTTTAACTTTGGCTGCGGCAACATCTCACGGATTGGTGCCTTCATTTATTCCTTCTCAAAACCTCTTTCCTCATGTTGATTCGAGTTTTTATCTCTATCATTTTCTTTCTCTCTGAAGGACTCCTTTAAACATTTCTTTCAAGGCAGGTCTCTTGGCAACAAATTCCCTTAATTTTCGTTTGTGTGTGTTACAGAGAAAACTAAGCAGGAAAGGGAGGTAAGCAGCAAGCAGTAAGGTACAGTTTTAAATGGAGCTATCGGAGCCCAGCTGGTGTGACTCACTGGTTGAGCATCGACCCATGCACCAAGAGGTCACCGGTTCGATTCCCATTCAGGGCACATCCCCAGGTTGTCCAAGTCCCCCGTGGGGAGCATGCAGGAGGTGGCCAATTGTAAGAGGAACTGTGGTCTGGGAAATAATGGGTGTAGGTTGGGGAGGCCTTTCATGCTACTGTAAGCGCTGTGGCTGGTGATGTTAGCCAGCAGAAGAGAGACCTGGTCTGCCTTCATTTCGAAAGGGCTGCTCTGGCAGCTGTGGGGAAGAGACCCTGTAGGAAGGCCAGGTTGGAGGTTGAAACTGGGACACATCTGGAAGCTACAGTTCTAATTTAGGAAGAGGAATGATGGTGGCTTATCCCAGGGAGGCAGCCAAGGAAGTTGGGAAGTAGCTTTGAGCTGCTGCCACCTGGCAGAGGACTGGAGAAACTTATTCCGGGGGAGTTAAGGGCCCTGTGCTTTTATATTTCTTTTTAAAAAATGCAATTATTTAATTTCTTCTATCACCATTTATCCCTACTATGCCCTCTTCCACCTCTACCCTCCCCCCCCCCCCCCCCCCCCCCCCGTGTATCCCCATAGTCACCACATGGTTGTCCATGACTTTTCTCTCGCTCAATCCCTCCCACCCCCCACCCCAGCGGTCTGCCTGCTCTCTGTCTGTGAGTCTGTCTCTGTACTACTTGGTATTCAGACCCGGCTTGTTTATGACAGGAGTTCTCTTTCTGCTTCTTGACAGTAAGACTCTCAAGTTCCTTAGAAAAGGGAGATGGGTTAGGCGGGGCAGGCACTGATGGTGCATATCCTCTTCCTTCCTCTGCTGAACCAAGTTTCCTGTATTGCCACCCCAGCCCCCCACTGGTGGTGCAGCCTGTACTTCAGCTCCCTTTGGAGGTGCCTGTAACTGGTGGTTTGGGGCTGCTGCAACTAGAGGGAGGGTGTCAGGGCAAAGGGGCCTTTCAGCTCTCAGGCAAACCAGCTTCCTTGCCAGATGGTGTAGGCAAAGCTCCGCCCTGGAGACAGCCGATCGGTTCACCGCCTGTGTCAGGCCTCGGGGGCGGCTGTAGGCCTGTGGATTTTTGAAGTCTGTTACCCTGGGAGGAATGGACAGCTGCTAAGTGTCAACGAGCTGTTTGCAAACATGATCCCCGGAGCAGCAGCCTCAGCATCACCTAGGAACTTGTCAAAAATGCAAATGCTTGGGTCCCAACCCAGATTTCCTTTACCAGAAATCTGGGAGGTGAGGCGGTATAGACATCTATGTTTCAACCAACTCATCGGCAGGTCTGGTGCACATTCCACTGTCTCAAAAGAGGACTCCTGGTTTCTCAGGACTCCTACGCACTTGGCTCACACGTTCTTGGCCAACACCCCCGTCAAAAGTGATGTGGCAAGAAGTAGGAATGGTGAAATAGCTGAACTCTTTGTGAAAAGATACTTTCTAGAATGACTACATCTCTTCCTTATACAGTATAAAAGTAATATAAAAACCAGGTGGTTTTTATTTCATTAGGCCTTCCATCGGAGTTCAGCCATGTACTTGTATTAGAACTACATTAGAGTTCTGTTCTAACTGTCACAACTGACTACAGCCAAGTGTTCCTGGGGAGACAGAAGCCAAAAGGCCCCAACAATTTGTGGGGGAAGCTTCATTTTCTCTAAAGTAATGGCCAGGACCCAGGGGAAAACGTAGGTTTCTGACCTCAGCCTTCCGTGGCTCTTCTTTCAGCCTCACAAGCGCAATGTTGCCTTGGTGACACCTGCTGTTTACAAAGCCCCACCCCGGTGTGCGGTGCTGGTGGAGCAGGCGGCACCCCTGATGGAGGAGGCCGGCCGGGCTTTCTCTCGGGAACACAGCCCCGAGTGCTCTTGCCACTCGTGGGCACAGGAAGTGTCTGTGGACTTCTTTTTAAATATTCAGCCCTAATTTTTAAAGCCCACTTCCACCTAGACCCCTTCTAAATAAAAATAATGTAAGGTCTTACCTGAAACAATTCAGCCCTTTTTCTTATCTCTCTCACTTTTTAAAAAACTCACTGGAATCGTTGAGGCTTCTGAGGAAAGCCGGAAGCTCTGAAAACACTCTGCTTGTGTTCCCCTCTCCTGGGGTGTTGCTGGTGTTCAGGGAGAGGGCCTGCTTCTGACCCTCGGGACCGATACTGGGCTGCTTGCTTCCCAAAGGCCAGCCTGCCTCTCTGTAGCGCCCTTGGCCTGGAAGTTGTCTGGGCCACATGAGGAGAATTCCTCCTCCTCCAGGATTCCAAAAACCCTTTGCGACCCTGGAAGGCCCTGACCTAGCAGCAGGGAGGCAGCCTGTGTGCGACAGGAGATGAACAACTCCAGGCGCAATGACAGCGTCGTCCTGCCTTGCCTTGGGTGACCCATTGCTGCAGGTGTGAAGCTGAAGCAGAAATGGCTCTGTTCCCAGCACTTAAACATCCTAGGAGGGGCCAGGAGCTGGAGGAGCCTCAGACACCAGTACCGCTGCCCCAGCTAAGGACAGAGCTCACAAGGGAGAGAGATGACTCGAATAAATGGTGGGTCTGAAAATCAGGGACAGACACCTAATACAAATACTTTCCTGGCTGTATTTAGAAGCAAACTCCTTCCCAGGCACCATGGCTCACTATAAGGTCTCCGGTGTGGTCCTAGATGCAGACACCAGAATTCAATCAGGGTGGTCTATCTGCAGCCAACCAGAATTCTTTCCCTGAAATGTGTTTCTGTAGAGTGAAATTTTTAGATCACTTTGACAAGTTAGACAATCTCAAACACAGCACACTCAATGTGAAAGACATCTTGGCTTGAAAACATTCTTTAATGGATAATTTTATGCTTAGAACAAAGTTTTGACCTGGAAGAATATACATGCGGAGACAGTCAAGTGATTTGAAAAGCTTGGATCATGGGAAATATTTAGAGAAATGATAAATTGTCATTCTCTCTAAGCTAATAATTAAGTTCCTTACCTGTCTTGGCTGGTTTGCTTTTTAGGTACCTCGAGTCTTTATTGGTCAAGAGTGTATAGGTGGATACACTGACCTCATGAATATGCATCAACGTGGGGAACTGTTGATGCGGCTAAGGCAAATTGGAGCTCTATAGTAATTACAGGTGAGTGACAGATGGGGCGCTGGAACACTGGGCGGTGGTGGAACTCTGCTGCCATGTTTTATCATATTCTAGGAAGGCACTCTGGCTAGAGAAAGGATGGTTTGGAGTGATCTGAGGAACTGGAATGTCATTTATGAATTTGCCTTTTAATAAAGGGGTTAATTGTGTTAAAGGAAGAAACCCTTTCACTCAACATTTATTTCACAAATATTTATTGAGCATTTACTATGTGCCAGACACTGTACTAGGCACTGGAATATAGTACTGAACAAAAAGATAACATGAAATTTATATTCTAGAGGTTGACAGATAAAACATAAGTAATTCCTGAAACAAATGATTAGACTAATGTGATAGAACTTGGCAGGGGGTGGGGAACACATTTAGCTAGTATGGTGAGGGAAGTTCTTTCTCATAGAGGCTGGCTGAGTTGAGATCTTGTGACAATCATGTCAAGATGAAGCAGAAGAGCTTTTAAGACAGAGAAAATAGCAAGTGCAAAGGCCCTAAGGTGACTAGTATAGAAAATTCAGAATTAGAAAACAAAGAAGAGCAGGCTAAGTCAAGAGCTGTGAGAAGGAAGAGTCGTATCAAATGTGGGCTGGGCCAGAGCTCACAGGCCACGGTAAGCAATTCTGATTATAATTAGTGCAATGTGAAATCAAGGTAATTTTTGCTTCACCTGTGTTCATACTGCAAATCAATTTTAATCTAATATGCTTCCCAAACACCAAAATCGTTTTCTAAAATTGTAACCTAAACGATATCCTTGGCTGAATGGAAAAGCATAGGGCGATGAACGCTTTAGAAGGGAACCAGATGGATACTTTGGGGTTTGATGAGTTCCCTCCCCTCCAGCTCTTCTTAGTGCTAGCTGGTTTCTAACTCAGCCAGTTCCACAGATTCCTACACGGAGACACTCAGTGGTTTTTTGTTTTGTTTTGTTTTAGTCAAAGGAGACATTTATGGTTCTTAAACCAAAATGTTCTTTGAGGGGCATTTATTGCCCAGTAATTAATAACTGACCCTTGAGCAACGAGTATATATAATTTGTGGTGGTTACTCAGAATAGCAACAGAAGTGAAAAAAAAAACCCACAAGTTCTGAAAAAATACAACTGAATTCTTTGAAGTAAAAATCAATGTTATAAATCTTATCATTACAATTTTGCAATATCATCACAGCAGATGGACACCATGTCTGTTTGTGTTAGCTTTCTGACCTCACCCCATGTACTCAAGTTTTCGAAACTCAATTATGGAGCCAAATGTGTCCTATTCTAGACCACTTTTATTCTTTTAGCAGTTTAGGTTTAGATTCAGAATGGAAGAAAACTTAATGACTTTCTTTGGAATATGGAAAATGGCATTTCCCCAACTATGAGAGTCCCCCATATTCACAAAGCCTCTGCATTGGCACTGTCCTTCAGCGCATTGTGCCCTCAGTACTTTGCTGACAGCTGCTTCTCAAGGCAATCTGTAACAGATTGTTTAGATAGCAAGAATAAGCATTTGGTGATGAAAGGGACTCGAGGGAAATTCACCTTTCCAAGAAAATTTAATTCTTTGCATTTTTCCTGGCAGAGCAGACCCCAGGCTGGTATCTCCCTGGCCAGCTGGATGGCATCGCGAATGACGCAGCATTTCCTGGCGGATGCCCTGGGGCCACCTGTACTCGCTACAGCAACTTTCTCCTTAATATCCTGAAATATCGACACCAAAAAAAATGGAGGGGGGCAGTTTCTTGGCCAAAACAGGCTTTTCTTCTTTTGACTCTCTTCTTTTGACTCCACTTGCCACAAACCACAGGTTTGAGAAGGTTGATGGACATCTTGGGTTCCTTCCAGATTGGCCCTTGGGTTCCAACAGATCGCGACAAGTTACGGCTCAAGATTCCCTCACTGACCCAAGAAAGTTCTTTCTCTTTCGCCCGTGGTCTCACCATTCCTCGTGTGCCAGGACTCTCTGCCTCTTCGCCAGTGCTTCCCACAAGGTCATCCCAGGCCCTGGGATGAGTCTAGTTCATTGTATGCTACTGCCCCAAAATGCTATAGAGTTTGAATTTATAGAGTTTGTATTATGAAATCAACAGGTATTTTAAATGTGCTTCTTCAAACTACATGCGTCTCCCTCATCACGTCTTGAGACTCACTGCTCTGAATCAGTGTTCTTAACCCTGACCACACACAGAGCTCATAGGAAACGCTCAACAATTCTGAAGGGTCTGAGGACCATCTGAGAAACACCACAGGGAAGTTAAGCACCGGGTCTTCCCCTGGTGCTTCACGGCTCAGGTGCACCTGCAGATGCAGCTCAGGTGCACCTGCAGATGCAGCGATCCTGGGCAGCACTGTTATGTGGGGTGATCGCCCAGGTACTCCGGAACAATGTGTATTAACATATTTAGATTAAAAACAAAAGTTAAACAAATTCGAAACATTATCATAAAAAACTTGCAACCCCTCCCCCAAGAATGTCTGTGAAAATGGTCGAATTTGAGAAACACTGTCTCAAAAGAACTTTTTATTCCCCACTCTATGAAACCTTAAGAATCACTCATTGTGAAGTTTGTTCTAGAATCACAAGATTAATTTTTTTGTTGTCTCTAGTGTGAAAGGTAAATTTCTTTTGTAATAGAGAAGCAGTCATAGATGACAATGATTTCTTTTTGTCCAATTCTTTTCTATGTTCTCAAGTCCTTAAGGAATGATATTAATGTGACCCCATCAATTTGAAGCTTTATTTGTTTGTCCCCTGCCACCATAAATAAAGGCACATTACTGCCCTTCACTGAGGAAAAAATGGTTGTGATTTTTAATTTAATATTGAAATGATAAATAACTTGAATATAATATGTCAACACTAGCCTATTGAATAATGTTTAGGGTTCAATAAGTTTTGTGTTTTTTTTTCCTTTCACATTCCATGTTTCCATTTCTCACCTAATACGTCGTACTTTTGGCTTCCTCTCCCTTCCCCGTGGGCCCTGGCCCCTCCCTTCACCCCGACTGTCGTGGGTTGTGCACATTGCCGGTCACGCACTCGCTGCACTCGGAATGCCTCCCGTGGAGCCCCGATCCGCTCCAGGCCATCACCTGTGTCCTTTCCCACCTGTGTCCTTGCTCACTCTGTTTCTTCTCCTTTGCTCTACTTTCCAATTCCTTCTTCCAGGCCTGATTTACTATCTCCCCTGTATGTGCCCTCTCTTCTCACTGCTTTTTGACTAGGAACAGCCGTCGTTCCCTCTTCTAAGACAGCTGCATTTGGGTACTTGACTCTCATCCGGTTGTGTCATAGTTGATCACCTGTACTGGTCTCTTGCCAGTGTCAGAAACACCGCACTCAAAGGCAAGAGCCCGGCGTGAGCATCTTTGTGTGCCCAGGTCCTAGCATGGAAGTTCTATTTTTTCAAAGCAACGGCTGCATGTGGTGTAACATACCAAACAATGCCGTCTCTACTACTCCACCCTCCCAAACCCAGCCCTCGCCACACACTTACCAGTTTCATGGGTGCCTAAACCTATTTACAAATACGGTAAAGTGTATTAAAAATATGTAAGAGTGTAAGCAGGTGGAGGTCTGTTTAACACCTGGGTATCTGCCTTCTTGGTTAAGAAATAAAGCAACTATATAACTGTTTCTAAAGTAATGATAAAGTACCAGCGGCCCATGGGCCCCTTCCCAATGAATCTTTTCCTCCCTCCATAGAGTAATCAAGCTCGTTTCTGTTGTAATCATTCTAATGATTCGCTTTATAGTTTTACTCCTATAATACCCCTAAGCAATACATTTTAGTTTTGAAAAGCAATGCCAAACTAGATATGTAAGAAACGGGCAATATCAACAATCAGATGAATGATCCCAGGAGGAGATAAGCTGAACAGAGGCTCAGCCTCCCTCGGAATTTACTAAAGGGGTGGTCCTGAGTGACCCTTGGAAACACTGGGCACCCCATCGTTGGAGACGCTATTGTGTGAGCAGATAACGGGCAACCCCCAGAAATATGGTCAATGGAAGTGGTCTGCTTTGTACTTTTTGCTTCTGTGGCCGCTCCACATTTCAGGCGCAGCTCAGGGCGCACGCCCCTCCTGTGGCCCCTCCACCTTTCAGGGCAGCTCAGGGCGCACGCCCCTCCTGTGGCCCCTCCACCTTTCAGGCGCAGCTCAGGGCGCACGCCCCTCCTGTGGCCCCTCCACCTTTCAGGAGCAGCTCAGGGCGCACGCCCCTCCTGTGGCCCCTCCACCTTTCAGGAGCAGCTCAGGGCACACGCCCCTCCTGTGGCTCCTCCACCTTTCAGGGCAGCTCAGGGCACACGCCCCTCCTGTGGCTCCTCCACCTTTCAGGGCAGCTCAGGGCACACGCCCCTCCTGTGGCCCCTCCACCTTTCAGGGCAGCTCAGGGCACACGCCCCTCCTGTGGCCCCTCCACCTTTCAGGGCAGCTCAGGGCGCACGCCCCTCCTGTGGCCCCTCCACCTTTCAGGGCAGCTCAGGGCGCACGCCCCTCCTGTGGCCCCTCCACCTTTCAGGGCAGCTCAGGGCGCACGCCCCTCCTGTGGCCCCTCCACCTCTCAGGCGCAGCTCAGGGCGCACGCCCCTCCTGTGGCCCCTCCACCTTTCAGGGCAGCTCAGGGCGCACACCCCTCCTGTGGCCCCTCCACCTTTCAGGGCAGCTCAGGGCGCACGCCCCTCCTGTGGCCCCTCCACCTTTCAGGGCAGCTCAGGGCGCACGCCCCTCCTGTGGCCCCTCCACCTTTCAGGAGCAGCTCAGGGCGCACGCCCCTCCTGTGGCCCCTCCACCTTTCAGGAGCAGCTCAGGGCACACGCCCCTCCTGTGGCTCCTCCACCTTTCAGGGCAGCTCAGGGCACACGCCCCTCCTGTGGCTCCTCCACCTTTCAGGGCAGCTCAGGGCACACGCCCCTCCTGTGGCTCCTCCACCTTTCAGGGCAGCTCAGGGCGCACGCCCCTCCTGTGGCCCCTCCACCTCTCAGGCGCAGCTCAGGGCGCACGCCCCTCCTGTGGCCCCTCCACCTTTCAGGGCAGCTCAGGGCGCACACCCCTCCTGTGGCAGGTGGCAACTCCTACAGCTGGCTAGTGTGGAGAACGTCAGTGCAGGGCAAGCAAAGTACAGATAAGGGGTCTGCTTCAGGCTTGTTTGGGCAGTCTGTCCTCAATTTAAAAACAAAGAAGTCCAGCATGTGTGGGGCCTCTACACCAGGGTACCGCTCTCTCCCTGGCATCACTCTCCCCTCACTGTCACCCTAGGGATACCATTTCCCTCTCTCCTGGGTTGAGTCTCCTCTTTCCCACATCCCATGTGTGTATGTTATAGCTAAACTGCTGTAACAAAAATGTAACATTTTTCGAGAAGCTTACTTCTCATTAACAGTCCAGGGGCAGGCAGGTGGCTTTGCTTCACAAGTCGCATCACCCCAGGGGCTGTATGCGCCACTTCGGCTCAACCCCATTGGCCAGAGTGTAGCCCGCAGCCCGCGGAGCTGTAGGGAGGCTAGGAAGGTGTCCCTGCTGGGGACCCCCTGTCCCCTAGCACTCAGGCAGGTGTACACCTAAAAAAATTAGGGGAAAATTAGATTGTGTTTTTATCTTGTTTAGTCTTCTTCATTTCAGAAGACCATATATCCACCATAGGTTTTAAGAAAGAGAGAATGGGAAATAAACTTTTTGAAGCATTTCTTGTCTGAAAAGATTGGTATTTTACCCTCATATTTGATGATAGTTTGACTGGCTTATAGCTCCTAGTTGGAAATTATTTTCCTTCAGAAGTCTGAAGACACTGTTCACTGACTGCTTTCCGCATTGCTGTTAAGTCTGAAGCCATTCTGTTGATACTCTAGAAGCTCACAACTCTTCCCTTTGAGGCCTGTGCACAGTAATGTACCTCGGTGAGGGTCTGTTTTCATATATTATGGGGGCTGCTTGGTGGTTTGAAGGGCCCACTGGAAATTTATTGGATTATTTTATGGATACTTTCCTGCCCTCCATTTTCCTGCGTTCCTTTTCTGGAACTCCTAGTAATCAGATATTGGCTTTCCTGGACTTGTCCTTAATTTACTTTTTGTTATATTTTCTTTCCAATTTTCTATCTCTTTTTTTCTCTGAGGGATTTGTTCATCTTTCTCTTATTTTCCTACTGAGTTTTTAATTTCTGATATCATATTTTAAATTTCCAATAGCTCTTCAATATGATCTGAATGTTCTTTTATAAAACTGTTCATGAATGTAGTACCTTATTTCTCTGATGTTATTGTGATCTCTTTATTTCCAATTATGATTTTTTTATTTCCAGGAGTTCTCTTGTTCTCAATTGTTTCCTTTTGTTCTCGTTTTATGGATGCAATCCCTTCTTTTAAGCCTCAAAAGATATTAATTATAGTTGAGGCCTTTTGTAAAGCTATCTTCTAGTTCCTGTATTCTCTTTCTTCTCTCTGAGTCCCTATTTTCTGATTCTGCTTTACATCTGAAGGCTTCCCAATGTTCTGCACCAAACATTTGAGATCTGGTTGTCTGCAAATATTTAAGAATGACACACCAAAAACAGGTTGGAAGATCTGTGTGTGTGGATTGGGCTTGTCAACTGGGGGGCTTCACACAGTCTTTGTTGAAATATCACCTTCTATGCAAGGCCTTCCACATGACTCTACTTAAAAATGTCAATAGACTTCTCCATGCCTCCTCCTTGTTTTCTCTAATTTATTTGTCACCTAATATATTCTATATGTTACTAATTTTATTTACTGTGTGTCTTTACCACTCAAATGTAAGCCCCTTGAGGCCAGGAATTTGTGTCTGTTTATATGCTGTTGTATCTACAGTGTGGATTAGACTACCTGCACAGAGTAGGCACTTGATAAATATCTGCTAGGTGTTTGAATGAATGGATAAATGAATGAATGAACGATCGAGTGCAGATACCCCAACTCTTAGTTCCTGGACATTTTTCTAGCCATTCAGGGTTCCCTATTCTTCTCCTGGAGGGCTGGGTCTTGCCTCCAGTTCTGGCTGCCAAGCAGGAAAAAGGATTGGGCAGCCCCTGGTCAGTGTACTGACTCTCCCATCATCTCCTGTTTTCTGCTGGCTCCTTGCAAAGTAATTCTGTGTGAGATACAGGAATAAAAGAGACTATATAATCCAAAGAGCACTGAGAGGTTGGTAGAGGGAAGCAAGAAGAATAACCAGGCAAAAAATGCATAGCCAAAGCTCCGCTCCCGCTTACTTTAAAAAGCAAGTGATTCAATTCCCTCTGCATGTATCATTTTATTTATTTATTTTTTTATCCTCACCCAAGGACATCTTTCCATTTTTTGTTCAGATAGAGTGGAAGGGAGAGAGAGGAAGATATATATAGAGAGAAACATCGACGTGAAAGGGACACATCGAATGTCCATCACCCGCACAACCAACTAGGGCCGGGGACAAACTGCAAGGAGGTGTGTGCCCTTAGCGGGAACCGAACCCGGTCCCTCTGGACCACAGACCAACGCTCTAACTGCTGAGCCAAACCCGCCAGGGCTGCATATATTATTTTAATAACTGCCTTCAGCCTTCTGCTTCCAGCCTGGCTCCGGAAATGGGACACTGGCAATCAATCCTCCTAATTCAAGGCTGTCCAAAGATGGCCCATAAGAGGAAACAACAGCTGTGGGCAATAAATGGGCCTGTGTGGCTGACAGCATACTGTTAGGCCATTATCTTGATATTTGGATGTAAGACAGCTATGCTCCCTAATTCACTGCACTGTAACAATTGTTAGTAGTCCTGGAAATATTTGAAA